CTGATGCAACAAGAAAATAACAATTTTGTAATCTCACACCATCAGCACAGATATTAATTCTTATAGACCCTAAAAAGCAATCACAAACTTCTTAAAGTTAGTAATGATGCAAAAATAAACTGAGCACCAATTCCAACGCAAATAAGAATTTCAAGCACAATTTCTTTTGGTAAATAATTTCAAGCACAGTTGCCAAACTATACTTACATTTTTGACAGAAAATTCCTCACTACTTATTCTTTAATTGAGTTGCCAAACTACAGTCACTATAACTTAGACAAACAAAATAGGAACTGATTTACCAGATTTGATACAATTATGTTTTTTGAATCTTTTCTCTCTTTTCAGTGGAAATCTTAGCACTCCAAAAGTATGGATAAATAAGTAGATACCTCTGCTCCAAGGCCCAAAATACTACACCTTTAAACCCAATGAGCAACTTCAGCAACGTAAAAGCCTATCCATGAAAAATGACACTCCACGCATTAATCATTTGTACCAACCCATTGCCATATCCATGGATCCTAATTACAATAAAAGAATATCCTTATGTCTTCACATCCTTTGACACATACGAGCCTCTGTCCCCCTTTAACCATTGTCTAGCTTGTCTTCAGCACCCCAACAACCAATACATAGAAAACAGACAATCCACAAACTAAGAGAATATCCTTAAGTACTCACCCTTGATACCTAGGAGCCCATCCCTCTTCTACCCATTATTCCACTTGTTTTCAGCTTTGACCTTATTCTTTATTGATTATTTGAAAACTCCCATTCCTCCAGTGAGCAAATTTTCTCTGACATGACACATGATTATAGATAAAGGGCTATAGCTAACCTCATCCCATGAGCCCCAATTTCAAATTGCTTCAGATTTCCACTCTCATAGTTGTGGGGTCATTTGACTTCACTGTCTTCTAACATAATCTTTGTTCTGTGCGCATCTCTTCCTACTTTATTTGTGATTCAATGACACGAAGGTTGATTCAAGGCTCGGGAATATTTCATTGCTTACACTCTCCAACTGAACATATAATCATGTCAAAACAAGCTGAGGTTGTGATGATGGTGTCAAGGTTGTTGAACCATATCTGAGACCATATTTGTTGGGATGGGGATCAAAACTAGGATCAGGAGATGAGAAGTGAGGGATCTTGATAAGCTAGATGATCCCTAGGGTGGGATCACCATCCCTGTACACTTATATAATATTTAAAAGCAAGGAAAAACATAGTTATTACTTAGCCACACAATGGCACCATCCTTCCTTTGTTGAATGGAACATCAATCTCACCCTCATGTTGATAGAATATCGATCCAACTTACCTATGAACCCTAGGATACGGTGGTATTGAATCTAGATCTCAGGTAACTAAGGATCAAGATCACAACGAAATGGATCAAGCTTCCAAATTTACAAATCGTGATCCCCTAGAGATCCCTTTCATGGAGGGCTAGAGCGATATCTTGGAGCAAATCCCCACCTTAGTTGGGTGATCCTATCAACTATGTCTTGGACCAAGGGGCACACATAACCAAGAAAACATAAAATAGATTTAAGAACCAATCTCAAATCACACATGTGTATGGGCACTGTGTATGGGCACTTTTATAAGCCCTATCTTTGGCATTTGCTTGTAAAATTTTGTAAAGGGGTAATCTTATAACCCAATTTTTTGTACAAGGTCTGCTGACCTAATTTTTACCGAAATCCCGCCTAGAGGGAACTCTTGGATAAACACAATTTTGTACTCCTCTCTATAGCAATACAAATGTCAACATTCCTAAAAAAAAACCAATCTCAAATCACACATGAAATGGAGCAAGTGAGAGGGGGCCTGTTGGGTTTTGTGGCCTTGAAAGGCCTAGTGAGCATGTAAATAAAACTAATTGTAGTGGATCCTGCACTTCAGTGGGAGTTGTATGCATTTAACTTGACCTAGGGTTGGCAATTTATGGCCCAAGTCATGTCCAAAACCATTGCACTTGGGCATAGGCATTACCATTGAGGGTTTATTGTGGGTCATCTATTGTTGAGGTCAGAGAGAATGCCCAGGGACATTGTTTGTAGGCCAGGAGGGTTGTGTGGTCTCTTGTTGCAGAGGAGAGGCCTGTGAGAGCAAGGGCCAAATCCCCTATAAAACTTTTGCATGGCATGTACATATGATAGCCACATATTGGGAAGCAACCCTATATAGAAGGATACTTGTACACGTGCTTAGAGAGAAGCCCCAACGCTAATGTTATATGTGCATTTTGAAAAGCCACTTATGAGCCCCTACTTTTGAGTACAGGTCATGTATCATGTTGGGTTGGTTTGACGAGACGATAAAGGATCATGGATCCTAGCACAAGGGGAGTTGCCTATCATTTACTTGTTTTTGACCTACAAGGTACCAATCCACTTTTATTATGTATTTCTAAGTGTTTTAAATTTTAAGGACTTCAGAAATCATCATAATCATCATTTTAACCTTTTTTCAATTAATTGGGATCAGCTGCATGAATCATGATTCTCCATTTTTCTCTATTAAAGGTCATATCCTCAGTGAGGTCATAAGTCCCCATATCTTTTCGGACTACTTCCATCCACGTCCTTTTAGGCGTACCTCTTGCCCTTTTTAGTCATTCCACTTGAACTAACTCGCATCTCCTAACAGGTGTTGTATTTGCTCGACGCCACACATGACCAGCCCACTTAAATCTATTCTCTCTCATTTTATCGCCTATTGGTGCCATGCCTAAATTCTCTCGAATAGATTCATTTTGAATTCTATCCCTTCTTATCTTGCCACTCATCCATCTCAACATCCTCATCTCCACTACACTAATTCTATGGGTATATTGTTTTTTGTCCACCCAACATTCTGCCCCATGGAGCAAAGTTGATCTCACAGGTGCCCTACAGAACTTGCACTTCAGCCTCATTGGTATGCAGCAGCGATCACATAAAATTCCAATTACACATCTCCACTTTGCCCACCCAGCTCTAATTTTGTGTGCGACATCTTCCTCGATCTCTCCATTTTCTTGGATTATCGACCCAAGATATCGAAAATGTGATATTTTTTGTGCTTCCTGACCGTCAATCTTTACTACTTCCTTGTCTCTTCTCCTATTATTACTAAACTTACACTTCATATACTTTGTCTTAGTCCGACTAATTTCTAAACCTTTGGAATTCTAAAGCATCCCTCCAAAGTTCTAACTTTGTGTTGACGTTGTTTCGAGTCTTATCAATCAAAACTATGTCATCTGCGAACAACATGCAGCACAGTACCTCATCTTGTCGGTGCCTAGTTAAGTCGTCCATAACTAAGACAAAGGTACGGGCTCACTGCTAACCCTTGATGTAGACCTATTGTCACTGAAAACTCGTCTTTCCACTAGTTGTTCATACACTAGTTAGCGCTCCATCGTACATATCTCTCACCAAGTCGATATAGTGTTTAGAGACGCCTTTTGTTTCCAACACACTCTATCATAAGCTTTCTCTAGATCAATAAAGACCATGTGGAGGTCTTTTCCCGTCGCCCTAAACTTCTCAATCAGTTGCCTAAGTAGGAAAATAGCCTTCGTTGTTGACCTTCCTGGGTATCTCATCTTGTAAGTGCCTAATTAAGTCGTCCATAACTAAGAGAAAGAGGTACGGGCTCAATGCTGACCCTTGATGTAGACCTATTGTCACTGAAAACTCACTCGTCTCTCCACTAAGTGTTTGTACACTAGTTAGCGCTCCATCATACATATCTCTCACCAAGTTGATGAAGTGTCTAGAGACGCCTTTCTTTTTCAATACCCGCCAAATGAAACCTCGAGGTACTCTATCATAAACTTTCTTTAGATCAATAAAGACCATGTGGAGGTCTTTTCCCCTCGCACTAAACTTCTTAATAAGTTGCTTAAGTAGGAAAATAGCCTTTGTTGTTGACTTTCCTGGCATAAATCAAATTGATTTTCAGATACACATGTTTCATGCCTTAGTTGTTGCTCAAAGACTCTCTCCTAGAGCTTCATAGTATGGCTCATAAGCTTGAACCCTCAATGGTTTGCACAATTCTGTATGTCTCATTTGTTCTTGTAAATAGGTACCACAATACTTTTCCTCCATTCGTCTGATATTTTCTTTGTTCTCAACACCTTGTTGAACAGCTTCGTCAACCAGTCAATGCTAATCTCCCCCATACACTTCCAAACCTCTCTATCGGGATACCATCAAGTCCTAAAGCCTTTCCTATCTTCATTCTTTCCAAAGCTTCTGTCACTTCCGACATCCTAATCCTACAAATGTTTTATGATATTGTTTTCAATTAAAATTGTGTGTCAACGATTTTTGGGGATTTTTTATAATTTTAAAATGTTTTTTATTTGGTTAAAAGCCCCAAAAGGGTATTTCAAAAATTTTCTAAATGAGAGTATCTTAGAAATATTGTTTTAATAGTGTCCAAACCCCACACATGTGGGGCCTATAGGGGGTGTCATGTGCCACATGGGCTACACGCCCCATTAAGTGGGACACCCCCTTATTTGGGGAGTTTTTTAATCGTGTTCTTTGTTTAAAATTTAATTCTTGTTATTATCCTAAAATATTTCTTAGAGAAAATTCTTTGGATAAGTTTGATCTAAATAATCTTTGACCAATTTAAATTAATGTGAATTCTTAATTATCTCTTTGTGTTAGAAGAGGAATTATAGATTATCCTAAATTATTCCAGATTGTTGTAGAAGATAAGTTTAATTGGTCATAGGTCTAGATAAAGATAGAAGTGGATAATGAATCAAATCTTAGGGGATAAGGTTCCTAAATATGCACTCCAAATCATGATAGCTAATCTTAGAATTGAATGGCTTAGATTAATTCTCTCTCAGCACACAAACTTCTAAATACTTTGGATATTGCTAAACCCATATCTGATGACATCACCCTAGGGCCCTTGAGGCCTATACAAAGGAAGGTCATCCCCTCATTCTCTATACATCTCAGACTTCTCTCTCCT